TGCATCGCCAAACTACTGAGCTGCTTTTTCTTCAGGTGTATCTGTGGAATAATGTGTAAACTTATTTCCACTTCATCATGTCCTTGAAAGAAATCTACTGGAAACTACCAAAGACCATTGAATGAAGGAAAACTTGTAACTTGCCCCAACTAAAAGAATATTGGTTTAAATATGCTGTATGCAGGCATCATTACTTGAACATGGGTTTTATTGCACGATAGATCTGATGGCAATGATACATCTTCCCCTAAACTTGTCACTCTTCCAGACAGCAATACTTAAGTAGGCACAGTATCTCACATTTTATGGCTAAGAGAATGCCCAGGACACTAAGTCAATCTCTTTCAATATGGTGTCTCGCATCAGTGAACTAAATACTGATTTAACAGCTGCCACAGGCTCCACTGCACACATCATCTGAAGATACTGTGTACTAGAGATCATGCTAGGGTGGTACATCAAAATAATGGGAACCGTTTTTTTTCAGTAGACTGGACACAGTGGGCAAGTAGAGTACACTTCATGCAATAGCATTAATTGGTTTTTCCATAAAGGACAAGAATAAATAAAAGCCATTAAGTTTAATCTGTGTATGGTATCAGGGTACACACCGCAATTGTAAACGGTGAAAATTAAGTCTTTTTTCCTTTACTTATTGTACTTATCTCAGGTATAATCAGCTGTAGTACCATACTAACTCCTTTCAGTCTGGCACAAAAGCCTACAATGCAACACAGTTAGGATCACAGGTGCTTTGCTGTCAGTGAGGCAAGAAGTTCAGCTTAAGAAAGTATGATATAGAGGTTTATTTTGTATTCCCTTAACAACTGTATAGTATGCAGAAACATGCAAATGGTTTAGTTCAAATGGCTGTTAACATTCTTCATATTATTGAGTACTTATATAATAAGGAAGTAATGCCATAAAAGTTCATAATGAAAAAGTGCATTACATTCTCGTGGTAGCCACAAAGGGATGGGAGACTAGAGAACAGCTTAAAAGGATAGTAGTCCAGATACAACCAAAGGAAAAGTACACTGTAAAATGGTGATTTTCAAATTTTTTTCTGGACAAACAGAGCATGCTCAACCTGAACCACATTCCTACAACCCATAATGCACAGTATCGGGTGAATATATAGCTTAATGTTTTCCAACAGACCAGTTGGAGATGATTGACTAGGCTGACACATAGGGCAGTTGTCCCTGAAGTACACTTTGGGAATGAATACCTGAAAATACCTACTTTGGGATTAGCCTGGTTTTTATCTGTAGTCCATGTCCTCTCTTAAATTTGAGTTAATTTTTAATTAATTTTAATGGGTTTTTTGCTCTGTAAGCCATTTTAATCTATGTTTCCCTTGAGCAAATGGGCCTGAAATCCTATGAGAACCTGAGCCTACTCGATGACTGTTTTATCCTCCTGTCCACTAATAATATTTCCACATAGTATTGTTTTGTTCCCAATTTCCATCCCCAAATTCCTGCCTCTTTTCTACTCTCCTGTTGTTATAGTTCTTCGGTACCAGTTTATTCTATTTCTTTCTCTTCTGCTTTTACCCTCTATTCCACTTCCAGCAGACGTTTCTGTATTGAATCTTGTTTGTTTGTCTGGGGAGCAGAGGATGAAGAGCCTTAATTCAGGGGTGTCATATCTGAGATCTGCCAGGGTGATCTGGGAAGATTAGCGATCTTAAGGTAAAATGTGTGGTGGCACAAATGAAAAAACTTTGATGCTCTCTTCATCATGTCTCCATAATATCTACAGTGTGTGCTGCTTTGACTTAAAATATTTTTGAAAGTTAAATCTTCAATTTTCAGTTCCAAAAATTGTAAAGATTGGCAACAGATATCCAAAAGTGGCCTCAAAAGAATAAATGTGCTTTGACATATTTCTTTGTTCTTTTTAAGTAAATGAAACAATTAGTCCAAATGAAGCACTTCATCACTGAAACCCAGAGGAATTTCTTGGCTGCTGACAAATCATGAATAATAATAAAAGAAGAGAGTGCAGAAAGGAAGGAGGGGTCATGAGAGTAGATAATCTATGGGTGACAAACAAAAGCCAATTTCAAGGACTCTTGAGCTGGGTTAACTTCTGCTGAAATGTTCAGTTTCTGTTTCAAAGTGTTCAGTAAGCCAAAAGTATTACAGTGGAGCTTCTGCAAAGTGCTTCGTGCACTCATTTTATTTCTGTCTTAAATAACTGATTATACTCCAGTTTCATGTAAAACACTGTCAGTGGAGATCTTTATTTCTATTAGTAGAAAGCATGTTCTCTTGCAAATGCAGCTTGAATTGTATAAGGACAAGCTGAGCTTTCTGCTTTTCTTCTTTCTGTGAACCCTGTTTACTTTATTTTGCAATCATCTTGCCCATCTCCACCACGTTTTTCTGTTTGCTTAGCATTCAGTCCTGTCTGACTGTAATTGCTCAGCGCACAGGCTCCGTCTTTGCTGCTGGAGGTCATGCTTACTTTAGCGGCAGTCTTTCACTGGATAGGGCCTTCATTCCTGAGGGATGTGACAAGGCACTGCTATAACATGTGAACCATAGATACATGTGTCTGTGTGTGTATTGATATCAGTCAGGATCTATGTGTAATCTCAGTATTATCTGATGGCACTTACACTTTTCTCTCCATGAAAGAAAAATGTCCGCCATTAAAATCCTGGGATTCGTGGTGGTGAGGTAGCAGCTGTTTAGTGAGCAATATTTTAAGAAAGTAAAATCTGTATCTTGTAGAAGAAGATGCTGAAATACAATTAAGTCGCTTTGCATGCAGAACATTTAACGAAGAATGAAACAGAAATACATATGTGGTTCTTCAACTCTTTCTAATTCCTATTTTAGAATACGTTAGGAGAAGTGTTAAATCAGGTATAGTTTGATGAGGTGCAGTTCTAACAGATGGATTAAAAAATTATGTGACTACAAAAGAGCAGATCTCCTATTTTGCTACTGTGCATCTCATGTAAAGGACACAAAACACAATTCTTCATTCTTTCTACACTCTAAAACTGTGTCATTGGTGCTTAAGACTTCGATAGGGGCACACAAGAAAGTGCCATGGTTTGAAGGAGATGAAAACGGAAAAGTGAGGGTACTACCGTTAAGCTGAAATTTTGTCTGTCTTTATGAGCTGGTTTTGGCTTGCATAGAACAGGATTTGTCTCAGGACAGTTTCTGCACTTCTCACCTTTTTGTATTTTAGGGAATAGTCGTGTGGGTGGGTAGCACAATGGAGCAATTTGTAGACTCAGTTACTCTGCCACTGAGCATGCCCTAATGGTTTCAAACCTACTCACAGAAATAGGGCAGACTATGCCGGAAAGTCCCAATATTGCAAAGATACAGCATATCATTTTACTGTACAGCTTCCTAAAGCTGTTTCATTACCTATTACAAAATTATAACCTACAATAATGCTTCATGAATTGTCCCTAAGATCTGCTACACCAGTCACCCATCAGACGCTGCTTTTGTAACTCCACCGACTTGAAAAGTTTGCATGAGGAAGGAATTTGGTCCATTTTTGCTAACTATAATATAGCGTTCTTTGCAACTTCCCAGGTGTATGATTCTCGTAGCCTTCTTTCATAGAGTAAAGGAGATTAATTTTAGAAACAGTAGATTTTACAGATCCCAGGACATTTGCCCTAACCATTATTTTGCTTTTAGTAAGTAGGCTCTCTGGCTAACTTCCACTCGTGGCGAATTATATCACAGACATATTAACAACTATACCCCTGTTAAAATGTGTACCACTAGGGATTGTCTTCAAGACCAATAAGTTTACTATTATTTCCTATCTTAAAATTTGTGGTAAGTAATAAAAATTTAAAAAAGAAAATAAAAATAAAGTTGGGATCACACTGCAGCTGCATCCTCGTTGAGAATTCAGATGGAAAAAATAACAGCTATAAAAGACACCTGAATGATTTTAGACATGAAAGAAAATTTTAAAAGCCCCACAATCTCATCGGCTTTAATAATATCCTAGATTTGTAATCATCTTTCCTGATGATGGGCAGACAGAAGGATGTTTTGTTAGAACCTGGTCCTGTTCTGGGAAGTTCATAAATCGTTTTTTAATTATATGCATGCGATTAAGTCCCATTCTGGTCATGGTCACTTGTATCTTAATTCCTACAAAGAACCATGGATGTAACGTATTCTCAGGGGTGGGAGAGGACTGTTGATTCCTGCCTTGTGCCTTTTTCTAGCCAGCTAATCCTAAGAAGGTGTGTGACTGGAAGCTCGTTTCTGTTATGATTCTCTGGATGTCCTCACCGGGTGCCCTACACAATTCTGTAAACTAAGTTGTTCTTGCTTTTAAGATGGGTTAGCTTGTGAGGACTCAGGAAATCCTTGATGTTCGAAGTAACCAAGTGGTCCCATAATTAATTATAATTGAGCTGATCAGTATTTTGGAGAAAAATTTAATAACTAACAATAGACTTTTTTTTTCAAGTAGGATCCCCCTCAATGAAATTTATTTTAAAATATTGAGGATAATTCTGCAATTCTTAAAGTTGAAGAAATATTATTATATGTATTTTTTCATGTGTTCACATAGCCATCTAGCTAATTTTGAAAATTTATTTCCCCCGAGCTAAAATGGGAGGAAAATGAAACAGGCAAAAAGGGAAAAGAAATGGGAATCTGTAAATGAAATAGTTCTTTTAAGGTGCTAAGGCAAAAAGGTGAAAGACTTGGGAATGGGGAAAGAAAACTTGAAATAAAGTGAATCACAAGCAGGAGTAACAATGTGGAAATTATTAACAACATTGCTTTCCAGCTTTTCTACCATTTTATCTCAGGAAGCCACAATACCAAATTATGAGCATAGTTATAAGGTAGACATTTTAGTGTCTCTCTCACAATTCCATTTTAGGGCTACGGAAGAGATATCCCAATTTGTATTTAATTCTTAGACTTACACGTGTGCCTTTTCCCAACAAATAGAGAATCAACTATGCACTTTATTATTATTTTCAGCTTTCTCAGCAGGGAAGATTAGCCTCTTTACATTGGAAGACTTCTGTGTGGTGTATGCATGTCAGAGCCTTCCCCCACTGCTTTCGACAAGCTGAGTGAAATCTATCAGTAAGTAACATGATTTTGCCATAAAAGAAAAATTGTATATAGTCAGGAATAATTGAATAAGTGAATTTGAACAAACCTATGACTAATATAAATCCAGTATTAACAGTTTATTAACTCAACATTTATTAACAGTTATATGCTAACAGATGAAAATGTTTCACATATGAACTAGGTACTGTTCTGTTCATAATTAAATGTTTGCCTGTGTAATATTTTACCAGTGGAATAACAAGTAGCTTTACGTTGAGCCAGGTTACTGGTTGGAAGAGCTGTGCTGTATTAAAACGGTCTTATTCAGTCTTAAACTACAGTCTTACTCAATTGCTTCCACTGTGGGAGCACATTATTGTGTGCAAGGGCCATCCTTCTACATTCTCAGTATAAGCAAAGACAATAGCGCCAAATTATTTCATACACTGCAGAATACTTTCCATGGATACTCTTGTAATATTAAAATGTAAAAGCTCCTTAGGCAGATACTAAAACCACACACAGTTGTGTTGTCTAAATGATACCACTGATGCAGTAGGAAGGAGAGAACACAGGGCTATCCGAAACTGGATACTGAGTGGAACCTGAGCAACAGACTGTATGACATACATGCTGTTACACTGTATGTAAGGTAATGTAACTGTAAGTCAATCTGAGAAAATTTATACTAAAACCAGCCAAATCCAGCCAGCTTTCCTCTAACACAGTAAAGACTGTGGAAGCCTCACAGAACATACAGAACATACCTCAATCATGGAGTCTGTTTCAAATACCTTTCAGATAGTATTTTGGTTCTGTTCCTACAGAGACTTAACAACTTGGTTAATTTTGACTATCACACATGACCAGAGAAGTGAATTTTAAGCCTGCCTATTTGGCATGAAAGAAATACTTTAACAATATATGTAAATATTTAATTTCCATATGGTCTGATTCAATTAAGTCAAATTGGTGTCTTTGGATTGATTAAAAAAAGGAGCTCAGCTCAGTTATTTGAGTGCTCAGTCAGACTAACTGCCTGAAAATTAGGATCAGAGGTTTTTGGTTTTCATTCCATCGTCTAGGTTATATGCACCACCTGGGTGCATCAGGTGCAGCAGGTTATTTCTGAGTGCTAGCATGATTTGGGGTATTTTTTCCTCCATCTTTGTTGTTTGCACGTCGCAAGAAGAGAGGGAGGAGAACAGTGCATACCAAGAAGGTAAAAAATTTTAATGCCCTGTACATCATGATCTTTTTCTGTCTTTACTTACCTGGCTAATAATAACAAAATTGTTGGGCTGTTCAGATAATAATCTGTTAAAAGCTTTTGGAAAGTGCCTGGTTTTATCAGCATTAATTGCTTCCAGTGGGACTAAGTATTAGTAAAGGTAAGCCTTCACATCATCAGGGGCTAATTAGGACAAGTGCAAAAGAAAGAGAAGTAGAATGAAAATTGTTCTTATTATTCTTGATCTTGCTATTTATTGTGTTTTGAGCCTAGCAGCGCACTTTTCTGTTTCTTGCTTGTAACAGAACCTGTTAGGGTTACAAACATTGTCTAACTTGGAGTACTTTTTTTTCCTTCATCCATTCATATTTTTCATGTATTTACATAAATGCTACCAATTAGCGTTTGGTTTTGGTGCTTCTTTTAGTGGGAAGTCACAATTGTAAAGATTGAGTATGCAAGCAGTTTAGTATCCTGCTCAAGGTGTACAGCTGCTGCCAAATAGCTCAATGTTGATTTTTCCACAGTGACTTTACCTGGACAAATGTGGGAAAACATAAAGCATACAGTAGCTAAGGAGGAATATATTATTTATTTCATTTTTTCTGTTAGCTGTCATCATGTTTACAAATTTAAGTGGACTATACTACCTCATTATTTGGCACTTTTGAAAGTTCAGTGATGGAGAGATGAAAGAAAGAGTTTTAGTCTTGTAATAGGTTCATACTGTTTATAGTATACTAGATGTATAATACTAGGTATAGCTATAGGTGTTTGGTATTTATATATATAAAAACAGTGCATCTAAGATGAACAACCTTAGATCTTAGAGGTTCTGCAGCCACCGTAGCTCTTCAGGATAGCAGCGTGAGTTGATCAGTTTATCTTCAGTGATATGACAAGGTGAAATTTTGTTGTTGTTGTTTCTGGATATTCAAATTCTTAAAGGTTTATGTGGGTCATGTTTAGTATAATATGTAGCTTTCTAATATAAGCGCTATTTAATCTCTAAAACAGTGCATTTTTCAATGGTGTAAGAGCGGAGTACCTCACTGCAGTCACTCTCTAGGGCATGAGAGAATAATCTATATGTAAAAAGCAGAATGTTGTGATTGCTCCTCCTTGTTGTGGTTCCTGATTACCTAACTTGCCAATCACACATAGGATTTTCTTTAACGGAGTTAAGTTTCACTGACCTCAGGACAGCTGACATGGTAAACTCTAGAACTTGGAAGTTTAATTTATGCTTTTCTGTGTATATTCTAAGAAGAAACCATCTGATAAAAACATATATACATAGGAAAGGCAAGAAAGAATATATTTTAGATTCAAGAAAATAATCCATTCCATCACATTAAATGTTTCCAGAAAATAAAATTATTTGGAAGGCATTTTTTGGACTGTTTATTAATGTTAATATTGTAATTACTGTTTGCTACTGTTGTAAAATATTATACTGTCATATCTACACCATATACACAAGGTAGACTTCCCTGTTTAATATATTCTATGTGTGCAAGTGAACTACTGGTAACAAGTTTCTGCGTATTTCTTGAAAAACTGTGCATTTCTCATTTAATCTTGACCATCTCTCCCAATTTGCTTTTGGGACTTGTATGCTAGACTCTGTCAAAAACTTTGTTATGCCATGCAAATACACATTTTAATCCTCCCACTCTTCACCAGGCCAGTTGTAAATGAAAGAAAATAAGATGGGTAAACATTTAGTTTTGATAAATCTTTGTTTTTCAGCTTACAGTACTGTAGGTGCCTGTAAATTGATTGTAATAATTTTTCCAGATGTTTTCACAGATAATCAAATTATGTTGTCTGTACTGTAATTTCCCGAGATTCCTTTTTTCCCCCTTCTTTTTAAAAGATAATTAGGATGCTTGATTTGCTCCAGTTTTCTGGATCTTCACTTAGCTCAGAGACACAGAAAAGAATTAACTTAATCAGGTCACACTGTGTTCAGAGGCCAGACCAAGAATAAAAGAACAGATAACAGGTATCCCTGATTCCAGATATGTAACAGATACCACCTGATTCCAAATCTACATTATGACACAGTGGCCCCGAAATCTATTTGAACAGTACTAATCTCTTTATACTTCCATCCATGTCATTATTTTAGCTGCATAACCAGAGATTCTGGAAGCAGGCTATAAGCTTTGAAAATGTCCACTAAAGTTTGAGTTAGCTCCTCAGCTGTTATCAGTGGTTTACTGGCGTTTTCTGACATTATGATTCACAAGCCTGAGGTTAGGCAAATACCGTGATTGTCCCACACTTAATAAAATGCCTTTCTGCCTCTGGTGTGCAGCTACTCTCAGCCCTGTCACCCTCTTCCCAGCTATTCCAGCTCAGAAGGAGAAAGTGGGCCTGATGGCAGGGAGTCATACTGAGGCACACAGTGAACAAGGATCCCAGTAATGGCCAAACTGGCAGAAATTTGTGACCACATGAAGAGAGGACTCCAGACAGGAGGACTTAGGGAGGAGAAATCCAAGCTCTGAGTAACAATAAAGAAATAGGAAAACACTGCCGTAAAGAGCCAGAAAAATAGCATGGGTTTTGTGAGAGACTTCAGCGATTATTCTTTTGCTGGAATCATTAAACCTTTCTGTAATTAAGTGAAAAGCCTGTAATCTTCACATACCCATCTCTGTAGGAATTCCTTGAATATTTTGTTTAGCGTGCAAAGGCATAGCTTAAATTCGCCAATAGTAGGAGACCATCTTTGGTTTATCTTTCACTGGGGACTTCTACACCACACAGGCTTTCTGTTTGACCTTTACATTTTCTTCAGAGGACAAGAGATTGAAGTCTGTAGGATAACCAGAAATACCCAACGTGGCACAGCTGCTCTGGAGAAAACCTAAACTGCTTTTGAGCACAAGAAGTAGTAAACATCTGGGGATCATTTGAAACTGTAGCTGCTCACTCACTATGGAAGACATGAAAGAAGCAGTTAATGTTTCTTTTCTGGGTAGGGGATTGATCTTTATCACCACTTTCCCTAAACTGTATTAATGACAATCACCAGGGACAGGAGAAGTACGCATATTTTAAAAGGCAGCAGTAGTTGCCCCAGGTCACAGAAGTGAAGGAGAAATTTGAATCTGAGTTTTACTTGTTTTCTATCCAGGAGCATGATCCTCTTTTGTTGGAAATAATTTTTGTGTGAAGTTTGACTGAGACTTCTAAGGATACATACAAATAAATCAAGTTAACAACAACAAGAAGAAAGAAAAAATCCCTCCTGTAAGGTCTCCAAAAGAATTCTTTCTCTACTGTAGCAAAAAGAACTGTAAATCTTTTTTTTTTCTTTTTTCTTTTTTTTGGCACTAGGACTTTTAATTTTTTGTTTAAGATTGAAGTATATGAGAAAGCAGATCCTGCTTCATAGAACATTTGGTTTAGTGTTTTCTATACCAGGTCACTGAGGCCGCTTCCATCTGTGGAGCCAATAATCTCTATAGCACCCAGAGGACTGTCCTCCAGCCACCCATCACATGTGGCTTGCTTGTAGAGGAGGGGAGGAGAAGGGATGGTCTTCTGCAAACATACGTGGTGAGATTGCTTGAGTGTAGTGAATTGAAATATCACTTCCTTGTACTCCCACAGGAGCATGTAAAATGGGACTGTGGAGTCCTCACTCATGTCTGTTCTGTGTGATTCTTATTCCTCCTGTCTCAGTCCCCACTGACTAAAGTAAGTGGAAAGGGATGGCATCCAACTCCTCAGAGCTGTTGCCTTTGTTGAAATACTGCAAGTACCATGGAACAAACTGGCTCA